GCGGCCCCCTGCTCCGGCCCGTGGGGGAAGCAGCAGGGAGGCTGTGCAGAGGGGGCTGAATTCGTGGCAGCAGCAGCAGCAGCAGCAGCAACAACAACAACAGCCTCGCCCACCTCCTCGCCAGCAGGAAAGAGTCCACTTGGAGAGCCTTGTGCCCAGCAGGCCCAGCCCCCTGCCAGCAGCAGAGACCCCTATTGCAGGTCTCCCTGAGTTCCCAAGGGCAGCCTCTCAGCAGGAGATAGAACAGTCCATTGAAACACTCAACATGCTGATGCTGGATCTGGAACCAGCCTCTGCTGCCCCTCTGCACAAATCCCAGAGTGTCCCAGGGGCCTGGCCAGGGGCTTCCCCACTTTCCTCCCAGCCCCCCTCCAGCTTCTCCCGCCAATCCCATCCACTGACCCAGTCCAGATCTGGCTATATCCCCAGTGGGCATTCCTTGGGAACCCATGAGCCAGTCCCACGGGCCGCCCTGGAGTCTGTCCCTCCTGGAAGGTCTTACTCACCTTATGATTATCAACTGTGTCCAGCTGGACCCAACCAGGGTTTCCGTCCAAAGAGCCCAGCCTCCTCCTCCTCCTCTGCCTTCCATCCAACCACTCATAGCCCTCCAGGGCCTCAGCAGCCCCCAGCCTCTCTCCCTGGCATCACTGCTCAACCTCAGCTCCCACCAAAGGAAGCGAGTTCAGATCCTTCCCGAACTCCGGAGGAGGAGCCATTGAACCTGGAAGGGCTGGTGGCCCACAGGGTAGCAGGTAAGAGTCCAGAAGACCATCAGTTCTGGGAATTCCCTCCTTACTCCCTCTACCTTACCCTCCTTTGGTCTTTGTTGGTCTTGCTGGAAGGAGGTGCAGGCCCAGGGATGACTTTGGCAAGCATTGCTATGGCTTGGGGAAGAGGCTTACAGGTACCTGCCATGCTACCCATCCCCTCCTGTATTTATTGTTCAGCACCAGCCAGATACTGGAATTCAAAGATCAGTGTCTGTCAGTTCCTGCCCTCAAAGAGTTTATAGTCTAGTGAGGACACAGATAATCACAACAGTGAAATGTGTGCTAGGCTATGACTTTGCTGGGGACCAAGGCCCTCAAACCCAGGAAATCAAACCTGACCACCTAGGGCAATCAAGGACAGCTTTCTGGAGGAGGTAACTCTGAGACTGGAGTACAGATTTTTTAGAGAGAGGATATTCTGTGATTGCTGGCTGACATCTCTGTCCTCACACTTCAGTTCCTTGGAGTGCGGAAAAGACTGGAGGGAAACTTCTGTAGACTTAAATTCTCTCGTAGGCCTTCCCAGAGGCTGTAATGAAACCAGAGAGAGTATCCTAAAGCCCTTGGGTTCTATCTGGGTGTTCGACCTTGTGGGGCCTTTCAGGATAGTTGTCTGTGGAGAGAGACCAAGGTCTCCCCATTTGGAGAGTTTTTTTCTGTTAGTCCTTGCTTAGACCCAACTCTGTCTGAGAACTAGGCACTAAGAAATAAAGCTCCTTTTCCTATCAGAGAATGGGCTTATCTTTCTGGAGACAGAGGGGGACCACCCAAATGGCCTTTTGGGTAGCTAAAGGCAAGAAATGGCAGTAGTCAGGGATAACTGTGGGCTCCCTTCTTTCCCATTGGCTAAGTTTGTGCCCATTCCTCAGGGGCAGCTAAACCATGCAGAAAATCCTATGGGTTGACTTTGTTGTGGAGGTTAAGTCTAGGCAGGCCTGGATCAGAAACTGGGGTAGGTGGACCTTGTGCCCAGCCCCTCATCTGACAGGATGATCATGGGGCAGAAGAGGAGTCTAGGCAGCTGACTGTGTCCTCCACCCTTTTTCCTAAATTTAGGGGAAGTTGAGTCACCATGCCAGCTGCAGGGAGGGAAGGAGACACCGTCCCTAGGGCCACCCTTATGGGTTTGGGGAAACAACTTGGGGAAGGCCAGCTGGCACTTGGGTTGGACCCAGGACTTGGATGTGGGAACATGGACACTCTGCTCTCAGCCCCTAGTTCCATTATTGGAAGCTTAAAATGAACTATAATGGGATTATTTACACCATGGAAATAGACAAATAGGACTTTAGCTCCACTAGAGAGCTGGTCTAGTAGTAGTATATCATTGCTTCTACTTAAGCATCAAAAAGAGATGGGCATCTCTTTTTCAGGGATGAAATGTTCCACGGTGTAGAGTAGATGGGGCTTCAACTTCTTTCTCCCACACTGGGTCCCTGAGATAAGGACATCCTTCTGGCTTTGTCAGCAAAGACCCTCTTCTTCCTAGTTTTATTGAGGGGAGAAGAATGGGACTACCTAGATACCCTGAAAGTTTACTTCCTCTTCCAATATTTACAGAGTTGGGGTGGTGACCTAAATAGTGACACTCTAGTCTAATGATGGGTAGGATCTAGGGGGCTTCTCTATGGGAAAACAGAATGAATTTCCTCCAACTACCAGAACTCTTCCATATTCTCTCTGGGAGCTCACTCAAGATGAAACCATAACCCTAGTGGTCCTGAGGAGATGTCCACATTGTAGTGGACAGCCTTTTCTCTCCTACCAGCTTCTGAGGTCTTAGCTGTCAGCTTCCATAACCTGCATGTAGCCTCTTAGCTTTGGTTGCCACGAAATCATAGGGAGGGAAAAAATATTGTTGGCACTTGGGTTGGACCCAGGACTTGGATGTGGAAACATGGACACTCTGCTCTCAGCCCCTGTGTTCCTGTCACCATCTCCTCCATCAGCCGTGAGTGTATTAGTCAGGAGAAAGGATAGATGTATAGAATGGGGCAGTTATATCTGGTCCCTAGGGTGAAGGTTGTCTCTTTGTTTCTTGACCTTTTAGTAGTGGGATTTCTAATGTTAGCAGGTCCTGCTTGCATAACTTCCTTTTTATCTCTTCATGGTGTTTGCAGTGCTTGTGTAGATAAAGGCACATAAACGAAATCAATATGTGGAATGGTCTAGGATACTAGACTTCTAGTACCACCTCTTTCTGCTCATTCTATATTCTGCTTCGAGAAATTGTAACATAAGCTTTGACATGAGTAACTGGGAAGTCCAGATCTGCAGGATAACCTCACCATAGCCATGAACTTGATCTCTTGGCTTTTCTCCCTTGTGTTTCCCTTGGCTATCCTTTACAACTCACTGCTATGTCCCTTATTCATTCCATTTTGATTCAATAGCCCTCTGTCTTATTTCAGCTAAGATCTCAGAGAATGTAGGTATTGTTTTCTTAACTTGATAAATGAAAAATACCAAAAACCTATAGCACACATTATACTTTCTTGTGAAACATTGCAAACATTCCTATTTCAAACAGGGACAAAATAAGTTGTTACCACAACTCTTCTTTAACACTGTATTGGGTGTCCTAGCCAGTGCAATAAGACAAGAAAAAGAAATAAGAGTCAGAGTTGGACATTCAACCCATTTATCTTATGTTACTGATTCTGTGACTGGATTGATCTCAGATGTCTCTAGAGGTAGACATTCTAATGCCTGTTAAAAATCAGATATTCATCTTACTCTTAAGGAGCCTAGAGTTTAGTGGAGGTAAGGGGGAAGAACTGGAACTTTAAAATGAAGTCATTTGTAATAAGAGAGGTATGAGGAAAATTCTATGGAAGAGAAGCGAAGAGATCACTATCAGCTGGAGAGACTGGGAAGGCTGTGTTGAGTGTGGGTTTAAATTGAGCCTTGGAAGATGGACAGAATTTGGAAAATGGGTGGAGCCACTGAATAGAAAGGGTTCATAGTGAAGACTGGAAAACACTGGATATGCTTGAAGAATAGTGAGTAGATTGAGAGCACAGGCCATGTGAGGTAGAATCAGGAAGAGTAACGTAGGATCTGTCTCTGGATGGTCTTAAGTGCTAAAATAAGGAGCTTGAATTTTATCTAGTAGCAATGTAGGAGGCCACTGGTATGGTTTAGTCGGGGGAATGTGCCATGATCAAAGCTGTAGTGTAGGAAAATGTTTCTGGTGGGCCTGGGCAGGAAGGATACAAAATAGGAGAGATTTTGAGCTGGGAGATGCTAGGAGCTTATTAGCTAGTTTAAGTGATGGGGGACTGGGTTAGGATGCTGACTACCAGAATGAAAAGAAAAAGAGAGAGAGAGAGAGAGAGGGATACCTGGATACCATGAAAGTAGAACCAGTATGTTTACAAATTGACTGGTTGTAGCAGACAAGGGAGAAAGATACAACAAAGATGATTCTGAGGCTCTATGAATAAAAGCAGAGTGGTTCTATTGAGAAGCAGGGACTCAGGAGGAAGCACGACTTTGGTGTAATATAAAGCCTCAGTGTTAGATACGTTGAGCTTTAGGTGATACTGGAACCTCTAGGTAGAGCCGTACAAAGGCACTTGCATGTCTGTACTTAAGAGTTTGAAAGAGCAGGAAGAGCTATAGATTTTGAAGTTACTGTTGCAGAAGTGAATGTTAAAGCTCCGGGTCTGGAGGAGGTCTCTATGTCAGAGGGCATGGAGAGAAAAGACCTTGGGATGTAATGGCCATGAGGGGAAGTGGAGGACATAAAAGGGACTGAGAATGAATGTTAGATTGCTGACAGGAGAACAGGACAGTATGTCACCACAGAAGTCAAGATAGTCAAGGACAAGGGCTGGGGGTTTAGCAATGCCATCTGGAGAGAGCATGAAAAAGAGGACTGAGAAAAATTCTCTAGGCTTGCCAATTAGGTGACCCCAGTGATTTTCAAAGTCATATTTTTAGTTGAGTGCTAATGACAGAAGCCAGACTGTGAGGGACTGAGGAGTGAGTGGAACCGGAGTGAAGATAGCATGCCAATTACTCTTTTGAGTGGCTTTGTGATAAAAGGGGAGAGAATGGTGGCTAAAGGGGGTAGTAAGATATTGGGAACTTTTTTGTTTTTGGTAAATATGAGAGTCATGTGAATATCTTTAGATAGAGGAGAGGAGAGGAGAAGGTTGAACATGGAGGGAGGGAGGAGAAGAAAAAGAAGAGAAAAATAAATTGATGGATAAAGTCTCTAAGGGAGTGCAGAGGATAAGCTTAGGAGTCAGGTGGATAATTTAGGCTCAACCAAGAGGTAAGATACCTCTTTATGAAATAAGAATAAAGGATGTGTAAAGATATAGGGAAAAGTGATGTCAAGTTTTCTGAGCTTGAACTGAGAACCAATTTATACACACACACACACACACACATATACACACACACATATATAAATATATATGCACACATATATAAATTTCATTATGGAAAAGGATATGAGTTCAATGTCCATTTAACTCATTCATTCCACATGAGGTTTAATTTGTGCTATTTGCCAATCTATGCTCTAGAAAATGCTGGAAAGCAAAACAAATAAAAATCTGTCCTTGAGATGGACACTAAAAGTTCCATGGAAATAAAATAGAGCAGTGAAGTGCCAGTGAGAGATAGAGGGTAGGTGATTGCACTTCACATAGGATGGACAGGAAGGACTTTACTTGGTGGTGAAGGAGGGCTCTGTATAAGCAGTAAGTGCAAAGATCATGAGCTGGCGTAGGCCTGGTGACTGGAGCAGAGTGACTGAGGGGAGTACAGTGGGATATGAAATTAGATAATAGAAATGGAGACCTGTTACACTGGATTTTATTTTGTTAAAAAATAAAAATAAAAATGCACATGAGAAAGAGAATACTCCGCAGTGGGGCCTGGTCATACTGCAGTCCTTTTTTCTGCAATTCTCCATCCTGTCAGCATCCGGGGGTTGTGTGTGCATGCCCAGCATGTTTTTACACCAC